GTTTTCCTTCTCCATAAGCGAAAATGAAAATTTTCAAACCTCTCAATTAACACTTTCAACGAAAACTGAATCGAACGGAATATTATCAACAGTTTTGGGGACATTTTAAAAAACTGCAAAGAAAACTTTGCCAATATAATTATACAAACATTCCCATTTTGTTTATTCCCATTTAGGTTTATGAAAAACAAAGTTATCGTATTGCTAATCCGCGATTGCTATTATTTATTTAATCTTTATGCCTATAAAATAGCAAATGGCACATTATCGAACTCTTTATGCGATGTTGTTTCTGCGTTGTCTGGATTGAAATCGAACTGTGGGCCTCGGAAATGACGACGCTACACCCGTGGTTAATCGATCATGGAGGTAATCGATCTATACCTAGTTGATCGGTTTAGTAGACGTGTGTGTCGGTGTAAAGTGTGCAGGGTCAATGCCAGTTCGGTGTCCGGTGGAGGTCGCGGACGCGAACTTGTGAAAGTGACCATAGCGGCGGGCGGTCGGCGGTCGTCCGACCTAGGGGTGACAAACAAAATAAGAGTTAATAAATAGTTTTTATTTAATTTTCCTTCTACTCGCCAAAACTTAAAATGTTTATAGTAATTAATTAATATTTTCACAATATATCTTCCCAACGGACTAAAATACCCGTTTTTTTTAATATATAATAGTAAAAAAAAGTAAAGTAAAAAGTAAAAAATGTATTTATTGACATAATTTCAAATAATACAAAACTTAATGAATCCAAGGGCTCCCGAGCTAGCTAAAAGCTGTGTTTCAGGAGCCTAAATAGTGCCAGAAATAGTTCTTTTGAAGTCATTGGTGGAGTTATTAATTTAAAGGTTAAACCATGAAATACGTATATGGATAAAATATATTTATCAAAGAAAAGGATTTACCCTCGTTGTCTAGTTAATCCTTTGCGATAACATTCTGGAGACCTGGACTCTGTAAACTGTATTATAATAATTGAACAAATCGCGGAATAAATGGTTAGTGTGAGGTCCAACGAGTACGGAGGATGGCTGATGGTTTCTTAGACAGCGTAAGATTTGGCGTTATAGTGGAGAGATCATAATATTTTAATGGAAAGTGACTTCATATTTTAATGAAGTCATTTTTCAATCTTGACGTTCGCTATGAAATAAAACAGTGAGGAAAAAAGCAGTCGAGCTTGCCGAGTTTTTTGTCGGTTGTATTCGGTACAAGGTCTCCCGCCGTAGATTTACTAACCCATGGCTTCTCATCAATCATCAGCTCTAGACTTTCACAAGTACTTGTAACAGCCTAGACTGAATAAATAATTGTGATTTTAGAGGTGACCTTTTGGTCTCATCAGATCTGAGGATGCTGTAATCAATGGGTCATTGTGCTGTTACAGTTCAGTGTAAAGTTTTGAGTTTATTGCGTTCAGATGGACAGACGTAGGGATACTTTATGTTATCGAAGGAGAATTTTGTTAAACATATTGCAACTGGTGGCAACCCTAGTCGTACAGGTGATTCGACTTAATATAAGCAAATATTTTAGGCTTTTGAATTTCATTAATTGGGCTCTCTATAGTGCTGTGTGTATATAAAAACACGTTGATTTTGTTCTATAAAAAACCTGTTAAGAGCGAGTCGAACTCCTACAAAGAAAGTTCAACTGAAGAATTAAATTTTAGGGAGCATACGACAAGTCTTATGTTTTGCCGGAATACATATAGTACGACTTCTGTTTATTTTTAATTTAAGATCAAGTAGTTTTTGTGATTAGTATTCTAACTTAAAAAAGTATGTTTCAAATATAAATTTATAATAATACGGCATATATGTGCAAAATTTTAACTCAATTGATGCAATAGTTTCGGAAAATATTGGATGTGATAGACATGTAGACTACCAAATGAACCGTGATGTGGGTACCGTTTTGCCTTTATTGGTACGTAGCCCTAAAAACAAATAATACTAATGTGCTACAAAGATTACAGATACAGATTAACATATATTTTTCTTAACTACACGCGTTAATCGTTTTGAACGTTAGTTAATTTCTAAATACAAAATAAAACTGGATATTGTGATATATTTATTGAACCCAATATTTTGCTAGAAAATGGTAAATCATTTATTACGAAGGTACAACCTGCAACACTTCAAGTTGCCATAAAATATAATTTTGCAATAGGTTTTGCATGTAACTGTCAACAAATTAATATACCGGGGGATAAAGTAATATAGCTTAAGTACAACATTACACTCTGATCTTTTGTCCTCAAATGACGGGGTTGTCTGTCGTTTCAATCAAATAATGTTTCATTGCCTCTTCCGTTTCGAGCGTCTGCTATGACCACCCGTTTGGGATGTGTCGGGACAAAACCTATGTATAGGTATAGTTTTAAATGTAGAATGTTAACAGTAAAGACGTTCTTAAGATCAATAATTAATTTTGATTTAAGTTTAAGAAAAAATATAGAATTTTAAATATACATTTCTTAATTATAAGAGTTCAAAACAATTTTTTGAATTTAGACTAATAAAAGTACATATATATGTACTTTTATGATAGGTATATACCTATTTTAAGTACATTCGTTTTCAATTTAAACTAAAAGAAATGAAATGGTATGTAATTCATAAATATGAAATGATTTCGTAATTCGTGCGGACAGAATGACTCGAACAACCGGACAGCCACGCTAATTACTCATTTTTATCCACTCGTACTAAGTCTGTTAGTCAACATGGTCGCCCTACAGTCTCATCAGACATCAACACTGAGACAAAGGAAAGGATCGCTCTATGGATGTGCGGGTGTCACATGGGTGTCATCGTGTTGTTTATTTTATCCGACTACAGCTAAACAAAAAGAATGGTTATGATTTTGACCGGTATGTTTGTATGTAAGAATCTTCATCTGTTCCCTTATAACTTCGAAACTACTCATCGCAACTGAACTTATGAGGTATTATTAGAAGCGTCTTAGTTTTCCGCGTGTTTATAGGCTATGTGAAGCTGCATTAAATTGGCAACAGCGCCCTCTAGAGAGCGAGTAAGAAGCTAAAAAAATTATTGTTCACTAATTCCATGTAGGGTATCAAATGAAAGGGCTTAATTACCACATTTCAAACATATATACCGATAGCTTTTGCTTGCGATTTCGCTTTCATAACCCGAAAATAAATTAATTTAAAAAGTTCACAGTGTGTGAGAACATTGTCACGATGGTCAATTAGCGGAAAGCGACTTAATTTATATTACTTATGTTTAAAACCAATGAGAATTTAAACCGATCTAAAATGGACAGTGTCCTGGTTGCGCCTCGCTGGCCGCAATGGTTTGAAGTCAACATTATTGCAACTTCATAGTGAAGTGATGTGCTTCACGTGCACGTGGCTACAGAGCCGTCTACGCACCGCCCGTGCTGTGCCACTCCGTTATTTCTACTCTTTCTTTTCATTTCCTGGATAAATCTTCTCAATAAAATGCAAATACTCAAAAGGTTGTTGCAAACTATAGTATTACACTGTTACAACATAATAATATCAGAATCAAACTATGTGTCGGGCACAGCAACACTTTAGTGAGAGGAGGACTTCATATTAAAAAAAATAAGTCTGGCATTTTAATAATCATAATTTTACAACATTAAAAGCAAACTAAAATATAATAAAATGCAAATCGATGCTTTGAGGAGAGGGGTACTGATTCGACTTACAAAATTTTCGCCCAAGAACGAATACTATGCTACGTTCTACCACCACTTAGGATAAAGACATATATTGTAAATAAATGTAGAACTATAATGTCAATGTAAAATATGGAATTGCTTAAAAATGTCATTGTCTACATCATCCATCTTACTGTCGTCGATAGGGTAGATAAAGAAGTTCTTTTGGATAAGATTCTCACAAGGTGAACGTACCATGACCTGTCCAATTCGTAGCATCGTGCTACAGATGCAGCATACACACTCAACATGACTTCCAAAGCTCGGTATAATCAATTTTGGGTCACCCATCTGATGTATGACCTTTCTCAAGATCACTGCGTAATCGAGCTCCTCAAAAACCATATACATCGTGTCTATAATGATCGGTATCTATTCTATATGCGCTATACATATGTCGAATGTGTCATGTTTGGCGGTTAACTGTCCGAGGTCCCTGACCCTGCGCGCGCGCATCGCGCCTCACTAATTAGGCGATCTTACTTTATATCAGTTGGTTTTTAAGGTGAAACCTTACATTCTTGTTATTCTTCCACGTCCTTATTACCTTTATTCATTAGGACATTTGGTTTAATTAAAGGTCAAGTAATACAACACTTATTACCTCTAAACAGATCACACTTAGGTATGTTTGCCTTTAAGTGAAATTGACGTAACACTTCATTTGCATAATTAAGATATTAATTTTAAACGTGACAACCTATTACTGAATGAATGTAGGACAAATGGATTCTAGAAGCATAGAGCGATTACTGTCGAACAAAAACAATTGTGGAAATGATTTTTTTAATTTCAATAACGTCGGCCGTTCTTAATCTCTATAAAATTTGATAGAGAAAGATAATAAGGAGAAAAAAAAAGAAATGTTGGTAAATTTTAAGGGTAACTGTTTAAATTTATATTTTTTCACGCGAATCTTTTATAAACTCACTTACTGACAACTTATTTGGCCGCTATTTCCTAGTACAAAAATTTAAATAATGGTTGTATATATCGCATGAAAATTATCTTTGGTAGTATACTAGTGGCCGCCAGCGACTTCGCCCGCGTTTTCCATTATTTCTTCGCTCCTAATAGTTGCAGCGTGATGTTATATAGCCTAAAGCCTTCCTCGATAAATGGTCTATTCAACACAAAAATAATTTTTCATTTCGAACCAGTAGTTCCTGAGATTAGTGCGTTAAAACAAACAAACAAACTCTTCTGCTTTTTAATATTAGTATAGATTATTCAGTATAGCATCGTGAATGCGAAATTAATCAAATATAATTTGTTTTTATTTTCAGGCTAAAAGGCTCAATGGAAACGGTGAACTTGCTGCCATCAAGGTGATCAAGCTGGAGCCGGGTGACGACTTCGCCATCATCCAACAAGAGATCCTGATGATGAAGGATTGTCGCCACCCGAATATAGTCGCGTACTACGGCTCCTACCTGAGACGAGACAAGCTGTGGATCTCTATGGAGTACTGTGGAGGAGGCAGCTTACAGGTAATGCCACGTGATTACATGTGTCACAGTCACAGCAGGGCCGAATGAGTGGTCGAACCTTAATACTAAGGAAGGGTCGCGTGAGTAAAGCATGTTCTTTATAATATCTAACCGAATACAGATAAGTAGTAATCATTTTTTTTTTTCACCATTTGTTACCTATGTCCTGAAAATGTAAGTCGCCTTTTGGCTGGCAAAAACAATGGATGGATAACGGATATATTAATGGGGAAACATTTATTATATATATATATATCATTATATTATGGATTAGTTATATTTTACACATTTCACATTTATTTAAATGTAGGTAACTTTGTGTCCAGGATATCTACCACGTGACAGGGCCCCTAACGGAGCTGCAGATTGCGTACATGTGTAGGGAGACGCTGACGGGCCTCTCATACCTCCACAGCATGGGCAAGATGCATCGGTTCGTATAATAAACCTATAATATATATTACAAACAAAAAATACATCGCCTTTGGAAATTAGAACAGTAGTGCCATCTGAATCAAAGTCGCACTATTCATTTGCTGAAAGTCGTCTTCGTTATTGAAAGGTCCTATTGCTTTCCTTTACTAGTTCTCTCCATTCGTTCTCATCTGATCGCATTTATTAGCTTTCCCAGGACGTTTTGCTTGGCCACCGCCATCTAACGCATGAAACCGTGACGTCTCGCTTTACCGTAACATTCTGAATATTGTTGATCAAATATGAAATATATGACAATTGTGGTACAGGGACATAAAGGGTGCCAACATTCTGCTGACGGAGTGCGGGGACGTGAAGCTGGCGGACTTCGGCGTGTCGGCGCAGATCACCGCCACCATCAACAAGCGGAAGTCGTTCATCGGCACCCCCTACTGGATGGCGCCCGAGGTGCGTATACATGTTGCGCACGCGTACCGTACACGCCGTATACGACAGTGGAGGGGATATGTTTGCTCATCGATCACTGTAGGATTAAACCTTACCTTCTACAGAGTAGCTCTAATTTTCACTTTATTTCAAATGGGACTCGTCGAACATCGATATTTAAATCAATACAAGAGTTTATCGATGTTAAAAACGTAGATGTTTTTTGTATGACGCCATGAGTAAAAATATTAATTAATGATCGGATATTTATATATTTATTATCTATAATATAGACCATCTCTTTTTTGAAATCATACCAGTACTAATATTATGAATACATGAATGTAATGTGTTTGTTAATGTATCCAAGGTGGCGGCGGTGGAGAGAAAGGGTGGTTATAATCAACTTTGTGATATTTGGGCGTGCGGCATTACCGCTATAGGTGAGTCCGCTAATCATTGTTTATATGTATTATAGTATGGGATGTTTATGGTATCTTTCGTCCTTTATATGGTACATAATTCGTTACTGTAATACGGGTGTAGACAGTAAACGAAAATAAATACATTATTTTTTCTGGCAGGGTTACCTTTATGCTTATATATATTATATAGCTTAAATTGATTATGAAGAATCAAATATTCTATATTCGTTGTCACGTGACCGCAAACAGGACGTGACGTCACGCCCCTCTTACTCATATCAGAACTTAGAGTATTCAACCACATGCATACATAGAACGATATTTATAGAGGGTCGTGAGGCCATGATAGATGTGGCGTTTTAGCGGGAATTTTTGAAAACTAAATTTTGTTTTCAGGTTTTTAATTTATTATTATGAATGATATTCTTTTTTAGATGTGTTTCATGTATACCAATAAAATAAAGATATTTTAAAAAATTGTCTACACCTATTGCTCACTGAAATATGATAAATATGTTCGTGGTAAAATAGGGCTTCAGGGTGCATATTTAAGCTACGGATAAATCTATCCGTTTTGTTACGTTCCAAGGTTTGTGAACGAATAGTCGATAACAAATAATCTTCTATCATCAAACGACAGGAACAGCACCGAAGAGATAGGACACGAGGTACATAGCATTTTAGGCACAGATGTATACGTAGTATACGTATATATACGTAGTAGATATGTGGGAAATTCAAGTTTCCAGAATTTCCCCGGTTAGAAAGAGATACAGAAAGAAGATAGGGGACGTACCTCTTTCTGTTTACGCAGACGGAGGTACCGGGAAAAAGAAGCTCCGTATAATGACGAACTGTCGGTTCGTAGTCGCTCTTTATCGTACACGCGGCAGGAGAGAGAGAGACAAATGTGGTCCCGAGATCTTTTTTCTCTCTCGCTCTCAAAAAGGGTTCCCGGCGTCAGACGAGGTGTCGATCGATATAGCGAATCGAGTCTCGTCCAAAGAACGGAAGGTCGACATATGTACACGGTGGTGGTTGCGGTGGGGGCGCAGAGCTGGCGGAGCTGCAGCCGCCGATGTTCGAGCTGCACCCGATGCGCGTGCTGTTCCTGATGTCCAAGTCGGGCTTCAAGCCGCCGGCGCTGCGCGAGCGCGACCGCTGGGGCGCCGCCTTCCACGCCTTCCTCAAGCTCGCGCTCACCAAGAACCCCAAGAAGCGCCCCACCGCCGACAAGCTGCTGCAGGTATTTATATTCAGACCTCTCGATATGATCATCGGCGATCGGGAACGGTACTTCGATCCTCGTTATATTGTTTCAGCACGCGTTCTTCCAGCAAGATATGACCAAGCGATTAGCGATCGAGCTTTTGCAGAAGTATTCCAACCCCGCCAGTCACCAGCCCAACCAGGAGGCGGACGAGGATGCGGTGAGTGAGATACGCTACCTATACCGCGATAACGAGTCGTCGGCTTCCTATCGTTCGGGTCCGCCGTGTAGGTGGAATCGAACAGGGAACGCGGATCGTTCCTTGTCAGAGTGCTAAAGATCGAAGTCGCGGCCCGGGCCGATGGATATAGCAGCGCTCGCTAAAGCTGGCTCGACGGCAGACCTCGGTCTATGTCTCCGCGAACGTAGTTCACTGTGCGATCGATCCTTTGCTCTATCATTAATATGTCGCAGCACTCGCCTCCCGCCGAGTCCGGCGAAATATCCATTTAACTTTAGATGTCATCAATGGATGTATAAAAGTTTGTGGCCTGCATCTGTATGAAATTGCAGTAGCTCTTTTGTGGTGCAAGGTTGTAACTGGTGAGTGGTGTGTCGTAATACCCAGGCGGTGTGCAACGTGCCGCAGCGCATCGCGTCGCGCCACACGGGGCGGGGCCGCCGCGTGCCGGCCGAGCCCGCCCCGCCGCCGCCCCACCCGCCCCCGTCGCGGCCCTCCTCGCTGGGGGGGGAGCTGCCCCGGCCCGGCGTGCTCAGCGGCCGCGGCGCGTACGACGACTCGCCGGTGGTGGACCTGGACGCGGAGGGGGAGGGGGAGGGGGACACGGTCAAGCGGACCAACGGTCAGTACCACCGCCACTATCTAGTCTTTGTTCTAATTAGACGCTAGACATACATCGAATTCTAATCCATCGAATCTATTATCTGAACATAAATAACCTTAATAACCTTCAGAAAACCTCCGCCTGACTTTAATAATATTTTCTTGAATAAGTCGCTTTTGAGATAAGTATTATTTTTCACTTTTTTAAGTTTATAGTCGGTTCTAGGTTTTTTTTTATTGTTTTTACGTAATATTTTAGTTTGTCCGGAGCTCTCGCAACATCTTTAGTCTCGTTCTGTAAACGTCTTAGAGTCCCTACTATAGAGCCGAATAATCCCGTAGAAACTTGGTGTGCTTGGTAAATTATTTTAATTTTAGAAGCCTTCTAAGTGCGTTTGTGTTGCGTCTGCAAAGTCAAGCAATGAAATAAAAGCACGAAGATATTAATTAATTTACCGATTAATTTAAAGCACAAATACACATAAACTATACAGATGCTTCATCCCATAGAACAAAATGTGGTTGTCCTAACTCGGGTTATTTTGCCTTGCTTGAGTCGTCGCTACATGTCGCAAGTGAGCAAGCAACACTTAGAATTGGACTTGGCTATTCTATGGATTTTCGGATATACGTCAACAGATGGCGTTGATTCGTAGCACACCATAAATAATAAATTTATTTCTTTCCTAAAAACATTTTTACATTCAAAGGTTGACTCTTTCTTTTAAATGCATAATACCTGTACCAGAAAGAGCCGAACCAACCGATAACAGAACTTTCATATAGATACACATTAAATATACTATAAAATGTAATTTTATTGTCTTTAATTTTTGTTTTAAATTGTTAATCAATATAAAATTCAACACCAAGAAAAATTGGTTTAAATAAAATAATAACAAAATCTTATCCATTTACAACACCATCTCTTTATAGGCATTTAATTATTTAAAGCATACTTTTGCTTTAAAATTTTACGAGTACATTAATTGCTCTAAAATTGTGACGACTTGTAATTTTACGAATACATGAAATAATACATGTAACGCCATCTATTGTGGTATATAAGAACAATTATTTTTTACTTAGCGATGAGACCCCGTGCCTAAATTTAGCTTTGTAGTACCGTATTTTTTACTGAGATAAGTTCCGCTTTTGAACGGGAAATACAGTCGAAAAGAAAGAAAAACGGATCCCAGGTTGCCCCCATACCATACGTAAAAAAGCAATGTGCCACTTTGGTACAATAAAATAAAAAATTGGTTTGGAGCATATAAGTACCTGTTTTCCCGCGACTTCGAACCAATATGATGTCGAAGCATGTTCGATGCGAACGAACAAATAATAAAATCTTCCTTCATTTATAATATTTGTATATATTACAAGACTAGTTATCGATATCTATTAGTTTGCTTGCTCATAAGTTAATTACGTCCAAAGTTAAGTAACAATATTGATAAAGTATCCAAACAGTGCTAGTCTGTTATTGAAAAGTGTAAAAAATATAGTCAGTGAGGATTATATACTAAGTGCAGGAAATGTATTGAGTTTATTAGCTGTAATAATGTGGGTCTCGATTATTTTAGCAATAGTGTCTCAATTTCAATGATAGTGTCAATTATGTTGTATTTAATGTACCGAACTTTAAACTAAGCTAAAAAAAGAAATTGGAATTATTTGTTGTTATGTTTAATCAAAGAAAATATAAAACAAATAATATCACTTATCCTAGTTGTTTAGAGAATTGATGTCGCGGTTTGACAATATTAAAACTTAATTTAGTGAAGGGTGCCCGGGGCCATCTAATATCATTATTAATAGGGACTAGAATTAATCAACTTTTGTAATGTTCCGAAATTAAGATTGATGACCATAAATGTGTTATTTAGGCTTCGAGCTTTTTCGTTATTCGGAATCCTTTTCTAACTTTATCCCCGACCGTTAACACCCTTCAATTAGTACTTGGACCCAGGTCCATAACAAATCACTAGTCGTACGGACGAAAACGTTCAGATTTTTTTAAATATTGTTAATTGTATGTTTTCGTGTTCAGTGTATCACAGACAGACGAGTGAGGACTGGAGCGTGGCATCACTGATGAGTTGTCCGAAACACAACCCCCTGCAGGAGATGGCGACAGACACGATGCCCACCAGCGAGAAGTGAGTAACTCGAGAATTATTGACAATATCCAGCGTTGTAATTATTATTTTATGCTTTATGTCACTTGTTTATGTTTATTTGGTAAATTTTATCTTTTTATTATTATTATTATGTTGTAGCAAGTGGTGTCGGGTGATTACTGGTGATGATATCATGAGAATGAGTCTCAGGTATTTTATGGAAAAAAAGACACAAATTTATTTGTTGAACTCTCAAGTTCTGTTATTAACATTTTTTTTTCTGATAAGGCTTTATTTTTTAACATTTACGATATAATATAAAGAGCGGTTTGAGGGTGTTAGGTATTATACACAATATTAATTTGTTTTATAGATTTTTATAGCTTTTGTTTATATATTTTTTTGGTGTTTATTTGTTGTGCAATTTTTTTTAATGATATTTATAATATGCACCCTTTTGTGAATAGTTATATAGATGTGCAAAGTTTGACAGTGGCAAAATTAAAGATTTATTATTAATGCATGCGTTTTGGAAGTTTGGATTCTCTATGTTTGGCTTTCTTTATTCTATGAGACTGAATGTTTTCATATGGTGGTGGGCTATTTTTTAACAAAGGTAAGATTTTGATGAAGGATTTTCAAAATTGTTATGAAGATGTTTGGTGATATGAGGTTGGGTATGAAATAGTTTAATACGGTTTCAAGTTTTATTTGATTATATAAATACATTTAATTTAGTAAAAAATGAGAAGTTTTAAGTAATTAATTAAGAAGAAAATTATATTTGATTTGAAATCAAGATTCTGCATTAAGGTGTGTGGTTAACTGTACTATTAATTTATGTAAGCATATATTTTGATTCGTATTACTATAAGGTTAAAGTTATTTTTTACCTTTCCTTTGGTAATGTTATCTTCTAACTCGGGTAGCAAGGAAACACAGGCATACTGACAGACTTTAATTTCTATCAACAATAATATTTCTAAGTATCTATACTCCAATAAATAAAAAACATACCTTTAAAATTACCTGTTGATTATCACCAGTAATTGAAATAGTATATTTTAATGATGATATGATTATCGGATGCGATGCTACTGGGATTGCAGGCGTGTCCACACAACAACAACGTATCCTAAGTGAAAAAATCGTTTACAGAATATATCGGATTTCTTAATTAGTTCAAAAAATTAAATCGAAAAAGAGATCTCAACAATATTTTACTAATTTGTTTATATTTTTAAATGTAACCTTTTTAATATATTCAAAGCCAGACAGAAAATTCATAGTACAGACAAATAATTTTATTACATGTCATCGCAAGAGTGAGCTTACGATTAATCAACACAACATAATCTTAACGCTTTACGTTAAGACAAATTGGAAGGCACATAAAACTAAATTATGATTCTCGTAAGTCACATCACAAATAAATAATAATGTTGGATACTTGTCGGACAACTTGAAACCGTATCACTTATGAAATAAAAGTGGTTATTCGGCATAGCCGGCGCGGCACAGCACATGTCTGTAAGTTGTCTCTCTTTGTTTTAGGAGCCTCTTGCAATATATTGACGAAGAGTTGATGCTCAGGTAAACGAGGCGTAATCACAACTGCATGAATATTCAGATAAGGTTATGTCGTGGAACACAGTCAGATGTTATTATGTCTATTATCTACCGTATGTCAGAGCGTGTCATGTTAAACAAATGTCAAGCATTTTACCGATCGATTATGAACTTTGACTTTATAATATTAAGGTTTAAAATCGAGTAGAGTATGTATATAGCTTGACGTGCTGTTTGCTGCTGTTTAAGTCTATCCGCGATAGTAAAGACTGATGCATTTTAATGCATACGAGCTCACATACAGTAGCACATACGACTCTTTAAAACTAACGCTATCACAAGAAAACATTGAAATCCCGTGTAGTAATATTTTTAATTGCATCGCAACTGCATTAATTGTATAAGTTCAGAATCAATTGGTGACTTGTCAGTTCTCGGGGAGCCTGAAAAATATCTGGTAATTTTACATTGTATGGTGAGATGACGTCATTCTGTGTTCTATCGATCATGTAGAGAAAGCTTTGTGTGTGACCGTTCTACGTAGTGTATAAAGTCAATGATTTGCTTATTTATATTGGCAGCCATGTCGATACTTCGGGCTAAGAAAGCGTAATCAACTTCTGAGTGAAAACTTTTGCTTGCCCGAAGTATGAATGAATTTAACATTGAAAAATATATGTCATTATAAATAGACTCCAACAATAGATTTTTCTTTTCACCAAACAGTAGTAAACAAGAAATATTTGTTACCTATGTAAATATTTCTAATTAGTCTTCTCAAAGTAGAATTTATAATTATGGTAATGTTGGAGAATTTTATTCCATTATATTTACCTTTTGTCGCATGTAGCATGGTCCTAGTGTCGTTAGATCGGTACAATATATTTCAATTGTTAAAAATGTATTTATGAATGAAACTGATTGTAGATAGGTAATACAAAAAAGTAAAAGCCTCTATTTTTTTATATATTTAAGAATAGACTACCATCTGTGTCCCCACCAGCACCACTTGTTATTAAACAACAAATAAATAACATACCTGCTTGGTTTTAAATAAAAACTTTAACATTTTCGTATCTAACAGCACAGAAGCTTATAATAAAATTTAAATAACAGCACTGCATTGACCCGAGCGGCTTCTACTAAACGGCGCGACTCCTAACCAAAATGGTAAATTAAGTTATTCCGACAGGGCAACCCTGCCGCTCACGGCGGACACGGCGGCGATGACTCAAGCCGGCAACACCGAACTGTCGACGCACATGCACGACCAACACTTGTCGCAATGCATACAGTTGAAACAGAACTTTTTAAACAATTCCACCACGAACATCTATCAGAATCTGGCGTCGAACTTTCAGAGTCCGATCGGATCGTCCATGGTGTCTATAGACGATCCACTCTGCAGGAAAATGGGGGAGACCGACATAATGTTCGCGGACCATTCGGAGAGCGGCGTCGTGGTCGACTCGCCCCGGGTTAGAAACTCGCACTGCGAATGTGGGCTCTGCCCCAAACCGTCGATGCGCGACGACAACACGCTGAGCGATCTGCAGCGCTCCGTGGCCTCCAAGTGCTCCTGCGACGCTTGCAACTCCAACGGGGACATACTCAGCTACTATAGGAATTGCTCGAAGCAGAGCTCCGACTCGGGCATAGTTTACTGTGATACCTGTAAAAAACAAAAGATATCAGTTTCAAATTTTAGAGCTTTGCAAATAGCCAACAGTTTGAGGATAGTAGACGATAAGTTAGAGAACGGGGGCAACTCGGACGACGATCTGTGTAGGAAAATAGATATGAGCTTGAATATGGAGCAGAAAACGTACGAACACAGAAAGAGGCACAACAGGCACAATTCTGATACCATCACTGCCGGTATAGATTTGAGTCAATTCTGCCAGTGCGAGTTGGAGAGTAGCAAGAGGAAGACGTCCTCTGTAGATGAAATATTTAGTAGGGTAGAGGGGAGCGGGAGGGAGACCAAGTCTGAAATGTCGGAGGAGGAACTCAAGGTGGGACAGAGACAGAGGAGCCTGTCCGATAGTCAAAGGGATAAAGCCAAAGTCGAAAGTAAAGGTGAGTGCCAGTTTTTATTTAAAAAATAACTATAAATATTTATAAGAAATATGAATTTGAAATGTCCAATGTCAATATTTGTGTATATCTATAGCAGCCTTTATTATTTATCAGCAAATAACTCAAAAAGTGGTAAATATACATGTGCCGTAGCCAATTGCAATCGATATATCAATTTTTTACACTGTAAGTCTTTTCGTTCAATGGCCCATTCAACTATATGATAAAGTATTTATCATGACCGCTGACTGAAAATCCACTCTATAGTTTATCACTTGTTATTTCACAGCTTGCATCAACGGTTCGTAATGTGTATCATGTAAGATACATTTAAACGTGCTTATTAGATTAAAAAAAACATAACTGTTTACTTTCAACATCGAAGAAATTGTTTTGGTAAGATTAATAAAGCCGTGCAATAAAAGAGTTGAGTTATAGAGTTAAGAGTTTGCGTTCACTGAGGGAGTTTGAGGTAGCTCGATTCAAATATAAGATGTTTTACAGTATGTTCCAATATAATATTGTTGCGTTGGGTGACAGACTTTGTCGAGTTAAATTGAATCGACCGAGACGAGTGCTTATGTCGTGGCGCGTTTGATGACACCTGTTGGCCTTAATTGTATACGCGATTTTCAGTCGCTAACCTAAAGCTAATTAAAAATAAAATTCAACAAAAAGTAGAGATAGGCAGATAAGAGTCCACTCCGAGCACAGCCCGCCCAGTATATGTAGAATGTTAAACATAATACCGTATATGTTTTATGCTAAAAGGCTATCTATATACGCGAAAAATTAAATATTATTTTGTTTCGACGAAATACTATGTGGTAGTTCGGGTCGTCGTCGAACAGAGTACCGTATTAATTTCCACGTGTGGTCCATTTCCGCGTAGCAGGGTCTGTGGGGGCGGAACGCGCGGGGGGCGAGGCGCCGCTGGTGCCGCCGCGGCGGGGGCGGGGGCGGGCGCGGGCGCGGCGCGCGCACACGCCCCCGCGCCCCGCCCCCAACGGCCTGCCGCCCACGCCCAAGGTGCACATGGGCGCCTGCTTCTCCAAGGTACACACATCCCCCACTCATCTACTCACTGCCCTTTGCGTAACTCTGTGCTTCGCTTCCTCTTGCGTCATTTCCGATTCTCTGTATCTGGAATTATTTTACACTCGAGTCATGCGGTGGTAGTATGGATACACCTGTAATGTAGACGTATAAACGCAACTTAATACAGATCGTGTCCTCGAACTTATGCGCGGTCGCATATTTTTGATCGCTTCAAACGAGTCCCCGCTCCTATTCTTTGTATTGTAGTTCTAAACAATTTTAGACCCTAGAGTCGTATCCGTATTAACATATACGTTTGGCGTCTTAGATACGCAATAAATTGAAGAATTTCCAAGAAAATTTGTATTTCATCTAGTGGATTTAATGAAAATATAGTTTGTACGATTAATGAAAATTCATGAAGTGTTCTTTGTGTTTATATATATTGTGAATAAATCTATGTTTCTATTTGGCAGGTGTTCAACGGATGTCCGTTGAGAATAAACTGCACGGCGTCATGGATACACCCCGACACTAGGGATCAATATATACTTATTGGTGAGTTCATAAGTTCACTCTTACGACTCGTAACTTTAAGATCACATTTGTGAGTTTAATTCGAAATCACAGTGTATAAAAATTTAGTAGATTAATAAATCTATATACGTTGCGTTGCGGTAGAGTCTATCAATGATTTCAATGCTTAAAATAATATTATATATAATAATTTAATTTGTATTTAAACAAGTATTGTGTTTTTATCCGCAGGTGCTGAAGAAGGTATTTACACGTTGAACCTGAACGAGTTGCACGAGACCGCGATGGACCAGCTGTGCCCGCGCCGGACGATATGGCTCTATGTCATAAAGGACGTACTCATGTCACTCTCCGGTAAGTATTGTATGTCATGTGGGAATAAACGGGTCCTGTTTCATGTTGCAACAAACTATGGGATCATTTAAGGCAGGGGTCGGCAAGTAACTTACAAAGGGGTCCGCATACATATTCAATAAAATATTTGCTAGGTTCAGAAACAAAAATCAACGATTAGGACGGGGATGACCGAACATGTTTAATTAGAGCGTTAAGCTAGTTTTCGCTTAAAATGTCACAAAAAACTTACGCGTCACCGGGGGTTAAAAATGTTGTTTCCTTGTTATAACCCACAAGAATGACACTACCATATTTTTTCCTGTGTTATCAGTATCGGCTGCCGATTCGATGTATCTAGGCTTAAAGTGAATAATAAAGCATGAAGAATAAATCTCTCAAAAAACTTTAAAGTTGGTCAATCCGAATATCGTTTAACGCAATTTAAATTCATTGTCCCGGCTGGCCCGGGTTTACTCCGCGGTCGTCGTTTGACCGTGACCTAGACAACAGGTCACACTCGGGGCCGCTTACCGGTTCACTCACATCGCGCTCACCTACTCTCCATAAGTTCACTAATGCACCAAAAGTTGGAGTGTTCCTCGGCCAAACTACAGGACAGGATCGAGCGCTTTATTATTGATTTTATTAATTTTTATTTGGGATAATAACAACCTCTTATAATAAATGGAAATGATACTTAAAATTGCTACATCTAGGTCAATTACAATTATCCACAAAAATTAAACATCTAGAATGTGAACTTAAACAATTATTATATATGTGGTTGCAAAAATGTAATAAAAAAAAATGGTGGGTATTTAAACATTCCTTCGTTACGGCACATCCACGTTCAAGGACTCGGGCTCATTAGTAGGGTAGCATTGAAGTAAGTAATAGACTTGCAACTTTGTTAAGAAAAACATCTATTAAACATTTCTTAGTTACTTATGATATTTATTTATAGTTAGACGATTATTTTACTATTTTAAGACTATTCAATCATTTAAACATACAAATAATGATAGATACAATCTATATTCATATATCTAACATAAATAACAGATTGGGGCAATCCCTTCGATGAATAAGAATACCAAAGAGCGAACCCATATCAATTATTTGACGCCTTTCTTGTAACGTAAATTGTATGCGGGCGGAGCCTTCATCAAAGGTTCAACGATGCGGCTCCATAGAGGGGTGTTCCGGCGAGACACACCGGTGTGAAAGGGATGCCGTTAGCCCAGCCATTAAATTTTTATGAGTATTAAAAATTTGCGGCGCATATCGCCTGGGCGCGACGAGATCTTCGGCGGCGCGATCCACCCGACCACCGACGCCACCTGGCGGTGCGCAAATAAAACATCTGCGCGCTGCGCCGGTACTCGATAACGGCACTCGGGGGCCCGGACCTATAAACGTTCCAGCGACGATGTTAAACTACAGGACCAAATTTGGCCAGGCCCTACGATAGGGACGATGACAATTTTTTGTTTTCGTGGCCGGCGGGTAGATTATAAAAGATAGACACGTATTTTTTAATATATCTTTCTAGTATTTGATCGACGGACTAACCCCCGGTTTCAATAACCAAAAGACTATTCGTTTTTTTGTTGTAATGGTAACTTTTTTGTTTAACACCACTTTTATACAAAATAACACCACTTTTAGGAACCTAACCATACAATTAATAAGTCATAATAATTCTAAAACCAATTTCAAATTTAGTGTCGGTACGCGATCAGTTCACCTCTTTCCTATTGATTTCTCTGTCTTCCTTCTTACGACTTTGATTTTGTCCAAGAAATCATTAATCTTTATAGACCAACATTTCAGTATGATATTAATATCACCTAAGACAAGGCTGGACCGGAACATCCCTTTTCCATGAATTAAATGATTACAATTTAAAAAAATGAGTTACCGACTACCGTTCGTAGTTGGGAAGCGCCTACCGATGATCGTGAAACGCAAAAACGAATGGATGTGGGTAGCTGCTCCCGACGGTTGTCGGTAGATTATTGTTTGCTTGCGCGCAGGCAAGACGCCGTCGCTGTACCGGCACGAGGTGCTGGCGCTGCTGGGCGCGCGCGGGGGCGGGGGCGTGGGGGGCGGGCCGGGGGGCGGGGGCGCGCGGTCGCTGCGGGTGCTGCCCCCGCGCCTGCTGCGGCGCCTGGCCCCCTCCGCGCGCGTGCCCGACACCCGCGGCTGCGTGCGCTGCGCGGTGGCGCGCAACCCCTACAACGGGTACAAGTACCTGTGCGGGGCCACGCCCACCGGCCTCTTCCTCATGCAGTGGTACGACCCCCTGCGGAAGTTCATGCTGCTCAAGGTACCGCTCCTCACGTATTGACGTCCTGCAAACGCGGCCGGGACCGACGGCTTGACGGGCCATCCGCTAACACTTGCGAAAGTCGATCGACGACGACGATCGCGGGCCGCTCCCGAGCCTGTTGTGTTCCTCCCCTTCCATTAATTATTATGTATAAGATGTACAGTCGGCCAAGAATGTGGTCTACCACCCTAAGGTTGAATTTCGCGTGTTACGTCAACTAACAACAAGGTTGATTTTCCGTAGCATTAATTTTTTGACACGTCAAGTACACGTCATTATTGCTATCTTCATCATTTTGACGTAACCTTTAACAGTAATTATCTATACCTATAATAAAAATGTAACAAGGTTACATTTGTAAGATATTTTGGAAAAAAAATATATGGACGGCCTTCATAAGACTAATAGAAGCCAAAAATATTTTTTTTTTCTGTCTGTCTGTTTGTATGTTTAAATACTTTAGATTTTGAATATCGTAAATAAAGTCTTATAGTCTACAAATATCCTACATTAGAATGTAGATTAATTATATTTTAATACAAATAAAAAAAATCTGTAGGTAGTGAAATGCTATGCGTAAGAAGCTATGCGTGTTATAGGTCTGAATATACTGAGATAACGGATAACAGAAATGAATAGCGACGAAAAACATATTGCGCCGACCCATAGCTTAGTGCGAGACAAGGGCTAAAACTAGTTAAAATGCTAATTCTTTGGTTGTTAGAAAATATATACAATTCTTTTATAAAATTATAATTCTTAAAATCTTATGTAGCCGCCATCTGCCTCTATAACAGCTTGGAGACGTTCCCTCATCGAGCCCACCAGTCTTGAGCAGATATCAGACCCACGTGTTTCCTCCCAAACCTCATTGCAGTGCCCTTGTAGTGCTTCTGCTGTTCGTTCATTACGGTTACACCATCTCTGAACCATAAGATCCCACATATTTTCAATAGGGTTGAGATCTGGCGATTTTGCAGGCCATGGTATCAAGTTTATTTCCGGATGTGCATCAAACCAAGCACGTGTTACCCTTGCTTTATGTAAGGGACAGTTATCCTGTAAATAATTAAATTGACGCATTTCATTTTCTGGATAAACGTTCCGGACGGATGGCAACATAGCATTTTGGAGAATATCAACATAATCTGATGCCCTTGCTCGTGGTGGCAAAAAGGTCAAGTCTCCAACACCATCAGCAGTCATCCATCCATACAAATTTACCGAGATACGACCCGATTCTCTATTTGGCACGACATAATTTTGCGTGTATCGCGTTTTATTGAATCGCCAAAGGTGTAGACGCCCGTGTTGACTGGATTGAAAATTTTTCTCGTCACAGAAAACAGTGTTACTCCAATCAAAATACAAATATTCTATGGCGAAATTTAATCTGGCCATTCTATGAGCGTCAGTCATATAAATTTTCTTTGCATAACGCCTGTGATGTAAGCCCATGTAATGTAAATGGTTTCTAATGGTTTGGAGAGTCACATCTAATATGTCGGCAAAATAACGCGTTGGTATAAAGCCAGATTTCTCATAACTCCGTCTCATGAAGACTCGCTGAGTATCTGATATTTCAGGTCTACGACCGCTACGACTCCGAGCGTTCAAATTCCCCTCCTCGCTTTCTCGTCTTATCCAAAGACGGACAGCTCGTCTCTATAATCAAAAATAAAATATGAACAGAAAAAATAAAAAAAAATTTACACTCGGACTTGGTCTGAGATTTTACATTAAACTCACGTCAGACATAATAATACTTACCGACACATTTAATTCTCTAGAAATCTCACTAATATTCAAACCATCATTGTGTAATGCGATTATTTGTGCTCTTTCGTTAATGGATAAATTTCGGGGCATTGTAGTGTAAATTAATTAGGAAAATACCTACGGAAAATGCCGAGAAAATATTTGACATAAATTGTCAAGTGTTATATTCTTTTTCAGTAAAAGAGTTTTCGTAACAAAATAGTTTCCACTCTGAAGTGACCTACTTAAATTTTAAATTTATGAAATATTGTGAAGACTATTTGTTGTTGCAAATTATTATCTAATTCATAGGCTGCAAAGGTCAAAATAACATTTGTGCTCTACGACAACACGTTAGCATTGTGCATCTCTTTTATTGTTTGTATGCAATTCTAAGATTCGCCTTTAGCGATGCTTTAAAGACACGGGAAGTGTTGTCAAAACTGGTAGACCACTTTCTTGGCCGACCGTACTAACCTATTATTATCTTTGTTGACGATCTATTTATAATTGTTTGTTGTAATTTAATAGTTCTGAGAAATCCGCTGCAAAATAATATTTCTGAGTTTTAGCTAATAGTATCTGCTGACTAATTTTTATTAGAATTATCCGATATCGGTCCGGTTTGTAAATTTCTATTTTCCTTTAAATAGCTGTATCATCGGCGGATGCACCTTTTAAACGATGGATCCTGCTACGGTTCCCTATATTGATAACGTTAAGTTTGGCTGGCTCACTTTAAGTTAACGTTCGTTAATCTTGAGCCGGAATAAATCTACCATATTGAGGTGCTTGAGGTTTTGATCTCTAATCACAGTCGTGTATTTTTTTTTTATTTGTTTCTGATTTGTTTGGTCCGTTGTTGTTTTATTATTCCGCAATATACATGCTTTATTTATTCAGAAATGTATAAGAAGTAATATACAGGGTTATTTATAAGACACCAACACCCTCGCAGAACTGTATAAGAAATATCATAAACAACAACGCTTAATGTACGCACGTAACTAGTTAGTTACGTGCGTACCGTGCTAGGCTAGAGGGTAGTAGAGTAGTTTAGTTTAAACTACTCTACTACTACTATTACTATACTACTACTACTACTCTACTACTACTACTACTCTACTACTACTACTACTACTACTACTTTACTACTAGAGTAGTTTAGTTTAAACTACTCTACTACCCTCTAGCCTAGCACGGTAATAATAATCTATAATCGATTAAACTGGTAAAATTAGTGTTATTAACATTAAATAAAGATCATATTTGAATGATTAATGTAATTAATTACCAAAAGTAGTGGTACAAACTCTAATAAGTTTTTCGAGATCGTTGGTTGGTTACAAATAGCCCTGTATACGTTACATCGTACAGAACATAGAGTGCGTGTTGCCGACCCCCCTGCTCGCGTTCGAGCTGATCATCACCCCCGACCTGGAGTATCCCCTTCTGTGCGTGGGAGCCACCCGGAACCCGCTGCGGCTAACGTTGCTCAATATCAACTCGGGTGAGTCGATCGGTGTTACAATAATATTTACTATACAAATAACATAATTAAAAAAATATTTATTAAAAATAGATAAGTTAATAATTTACTATTCTAGTTAGGATTCCAAAATACGTTACAATGAACCGCACAATTGCAGCATTGCATTTTTATGTTACTGCGCCAAATCTACAGCACGGCGAGACAGTCTCCATTCAATTGCGACTCATAATCATCTTACATCAATTACCAATTTACATATAATTATTTGTGTGTCAATAAACTTGTATCTTTGTAAATTACACTTTATTTAGTGTCTACCATCTCGTACCTATCTTGAGTTTATGACACGATACCAACCAGGTAACGATACCGTATCGGTCGTGACGTATCGATACCTACTCGGCATCGAATAAAAAGTGTCGATTCCTACTCGTGTCGAACAGTTTTAAAACGCCTCACAATCATCATTTTTATAGATTTTTATCACTCATAGTAATACTGTTTACGGAAAAAATAGAAGTAGGCATAAAGAGCTATGCATACAGTTAGGTATCGCTTCAAACATTTGGTTGACGGGGCTCTTTTTGGTAGATTTCTAACTACGTAAAAATGCTTTGGCACACGGCAGATTTTCGCGAGACAAACTTTAGACGCCGTACCACATTAAACAGCCCAATGCAAGCGAATTGTTTGACTCTCCTCAGTGTGTGACCGTCTACCGACTACCGATACAAATACTTCACGATATTACTCGTTCATCATCATCATCAGCAGCCCATTTACGTCCCCACTGCAGGAGCTCAGGCCTTCTTTATGGATGATTAAGGAGGATGGGCCATGACCCTCCTCCACGTTGCCCGATGTAGATTGGAAGTTATTAACGACTACAAATGCAGCTGAGACCAACGGCTTAACGTGCCTTCCGAAGCACGGAGTAGCTCGAGATAATAGTTTTTTGGTCACCCATCCCGTGACCGAAGCCTGCGAAAGTTGCTTAACGACAACGACCGCGGGCCGCGGCGCTTAACCACTACGCCACCGAGCTACTCACTACTACTCGTTCCTTGGTTCTAAAGTATCGATGCCAAGTGTCGAGCGAGTACTCGTTACATCTCTAATAAGTGTGTCGTGTGCAGGCACTAGTCGGCTGCAGGCGGATGAGGGGGAGGGGGAGGGGTGCGAGCGGCTGCACACGCTGCGCGCCGTGCATCAACTGGACAAGGACCAGGTGACCACTAGTTTTTTTTTTTCATTTGTTGCCATGTCGGGCTTGCTATTTTCAATCGCCTACAGAGTAGGTAGTGAGCGCTATCGTCGAATTTACAAGGTGCCTCATCTCCTAGTAAAAGGGTGACAGAAAAATATGTTAGGTGGAAAAATTGCAAGTGAAATTTGTTTCGGCCATGCGGAAAAGATACTTTTTTGTATTTGAATTTCCTACAGACTAAATAGGAACCGGTGGCGATAACACTGTCGTGTTATCTTAAATAATTAAACCGTTAAATGTTCAGGAAGACTAATACTATATCTACATTTTTGTGTATATTTTTATACTGTCAGGTAGATTAAAAAAATTTGGTATCTTTTGTGATAAAAAATACGTACAGCAAAAATTTACACCTAATTGATTTATTTAAAAACTTGGTGTTATCGTAAAGTTCGAAATTACATTTAGAATCTGAAGTGTAAATTTTTCCAATGTTCCTATATAATCGATCTTAATTATTAAAAAAAAAATATATTGGAAAAATAAAACAAAAATAATTATTTTAATTATTATGTTTTTAAATGAAGCTTGTAATGTAATAAATTGTATAAACAATTTAAAAAAAAGGAGTAGACCATGAGTTTGCGACCTGCAGCTAGCGAGCCGCGTGCTGCTGTTTCGATGTTAAGTTACGTTTCTCACTCGTGGACGTTTCCATACTATAAAACGATCGAGATGTATTGCCCGTGACCGAGGGAGATATCGAATGGCGTTCAACTAAAATAAAGTATCATAGGCAATTTAAGTAACTCTAAAACTAAATCTGTTAAATTTTGTAAATTGTAGTTTTCGCCTCGTAAACTCCCTGCATTAGGTCCGTAAGGTTTATAATACAAACATGTCGGTAATTCGCCCCGTGGCGCATCGGCAGGTGCTGGTGTGCCACGAGAACGTCATCGACGTCATCCCCGTGGCCGCGCCGCCGCCGGACGAGCAGCGCCGCAAGCACAAGCTAGTGCAGCGGATGCAGTTCGACTTCAACATAGACAGCATACGTGAGTATACGAGAAACAAACTAAAAATCACACTTGTTGTATGGGATCCCCGTTGTATATTTATTTTGTTCTATTATACCCGGTGGGACAGAACGACCGACACTCGCGAGAATCCTGGATAGTACTATTTGTCTTTAATATGATGTAAAAAAAAAAATTATATGCCTAGGTCAAATAGTTTCGGAGATATTAAATTTCAAAGTTTTTGGAAAAAAAATAGTGTTTTCAACCCTGAGTCAATTGTTTTTGGGACGTACTAAGGAAAAGTTTTTAATCGGTCATTGGCTTCTTCATTTCTAAAAACGAAATAAACTAGTTTGTGATTTATAAGACCGCTTCCATGCAAATAACACTAGACAATCAATAAACAAGACAGTCAAAATGCTTAAATCGATTTACAGACTAACAGCCGGTTTCTGATTTGATAAAAGTAGATAATCTCTACTGCTTATTCCAAATAATCTAAGTTTTTTTTAATTTCACAAGTCAAACAGTCCTAGTTTTATCATACTGCTATCGACTGATCATCAAAAAACTAAAATCGGAAACGAAAACTAAGTGATGTTAGTTTGAGACGTTTAACTTTAAATTCTCAATTCAGAAACCGAGTGTAAAATTTTCTAAATTATTGTAGAGAGATCAGTCTAACATTAACCTACGTCATTTTAAGAGAACAGTTCTCGAAAAAAAAAATGTTTGAATGCGGTAATACTCCTTTAACAACGGGATCGTTAATTAAACTCGATAAACTGACAAATCTTTCAGCGATTATTCACCAACACAAATGTAATTTGTTTTAAAAACATTGAGGAATTTGTTATTAAAATAGTATTAAGTAATTGCATTTAAAAAGAACATTATTTAATTCATAATATCAAGACGAATTAAAAAAAGGTGAACCGAGTCGCATTAAATAATAATACAACTCCTAACGGAGCTCAGTCGCCGCCGACCATTTGCACTGGAGTGTTGTTGCGCATCGCCGCCGAAGCACCGCTGCGAAGCGCCTTTTTGTCAATTTATGTTTTGTTCTAGTGCATTTTTAATTGAATTTTTGTTAATAAGATACTACAGTGTTCGTCTTGAGTGTTAAGTGTAGTTTAGTAAAGATTGTGTTTAGTTTTATGTGAAATGTGATGTGTTTTGCGCGTGTATGCACCGGCATGCAAAAGAGCGTGCTTAGCTCAGTCTTCAGAGAGGAAATGGACATTTTCAGCATCGACTATCATCAAGATATCGGTAAATAATTTAATTAAATTAATGTGTTTCGCGGTCCATTGTTATCTGCGCACAATCGATATTGCGCATGCGCGTTATAGGGCTCTCAACACATAGAAATTAAAAAATTTTTTACTCCATTTTTACACCTTCTTTATTTTGAAATATTTGTCAAATAAAATGATGTTTGCATGTAATCTGACTTGAAACTTACGGCTGTGTTGGTCATTTTGTGGCTCCCGGTATAGTATTTGTTGTTGTAGCGGCAACAGTAGGACATTATCTGTGTGAATCCCTACTATCTAACTATCATGGCTAATGAGATGAGGGCTTCCGTTTTACCCTTTGGGTACGGAAAATTATAAAGTACTAACTTTCCGCCAGCGGCTTCGCCCGCGTGGTCCGCCGGTACCTTACTCATAGATCTAAACTCCCCTCCCGCCCGCGCACCCCCGCCTCGGTGACGCCCACTTTGCAACGGGCCGTGCAGCAGAAATCGTTATATTTTAATTTCACCATAACTTCAAAACCATACGTCCAATTTTAATCATTCAAAGTATCCGAAAAACCCGAATATCTTACGGAACCCTTTTTTTTTTCCAAAATAAAACATGGCCTATGTTACTCGTGAATAATGTAGCTTTCGAATGGTGGAAGAATTTTTAAAATCGGTTCAGTATTTTTTGAGCCTGTTCATTACAAACAAACAAACAAAGCTTTCCTCTGTATAGTGTAGACCAGTGTTTCTTAACCTTTTCAATGTCACTACCCATGTGAACACGTATGGGAATTGAGTTTACCCCTAGCTAATTTAAAATAATTGAACCACACAAATTCGAGAAAAAATATCTTTATTAGGAAAAAAATTGCACGTTTAGGTTACTAGTAATATATAAATTTCAAACTTCACTAGTGTGAAAGTTGATATTGCTTTGCATTTGCAAGTTTAACAATATTAGATTCGGTTTCACTCAACGCGCATCTCACTCATGTCATGCTCCACATTCAGACAGATTTTGGCTTTTGTTTTTAATGAAACAAGAGTCGACTAGCTCCCGTACTATTATTTTGTTTATTATTTTAATACTTTTTCGTGCCAACTCTGTTAATCCCCCAGAATTGCCGTTTTACCCCTGCGGGGATAATTACCCCCAGGTTAGGAAGCAGATAATGTAAACAATTCAGAGTGGATGAGAATGTGGTACTCCGTTGTGTAATGTAACGTATGTGTCTCGTGCAGTGTGCCTGCCGGACTCGGTGCTGGCGTTCCACCGGCACGGCGTGCAGGGCCGCTCCCTGCGGCACGCTGACGTCACGCAGGAGATACACGACCGCTCGCGCCACTACCGCCTGCTGGGCGGCGACAAGTCAGTGCACACTATACACTATACATGTACACACGCCCACGTCACGCAGGAGATACACGACCGCTCGCGCCACTACCGCCTGCTGGGCGGCGACAAGTCAGTGCACACTATACACTATACATGTACACACGCCCACGTCACGCAGGAGATACACGACCGCTCGCGCCACTACCGCCTGCTGGGCGGCGACAAGTCAGTGCACACTATACACTATACATGTACACACGCCCACGTCACGCAGGAGATACACGACCGCTCGCGCCACTACCGCCTGCTGGGCGGCGACAAGTCAGTGCACACTATACACTATACATGTACACACGCCCACGTCACGCAGGAGATACACGACCGCTCGCGCCACTACCGCCTGCTGGGCGGCGACAAGTCAGTGCACACTATACACTATACATGTACACACGCCCACGTCACGCAGGAGATACACGACCGCTCGCGCCACTACCGCCTGCTGGGCGGCGACAAGTCAGTGCACACTATACACTATACATGTACACACGCCCACGTCACGCAGGAGATACACGACCGCTCGCGCCACTACCGCCTGCTGGGCGGCGACAAGTCAGTGCACACTATACACTATACATGTACACACGCCCACGTCACGCAGGAGATACACGACCGCTCGCGCCACTACCGCCTGCTGGGCGGCGACAAGTCAGTGCACACTATACACTATACATGTACACACAGATATACACACTGACTGACTTGACAAGTACACACCAGTTATGCTTTCTATCAATATCGATAAATATTGTCGTTTGTATTACAGGGTGGTAGTACTAGAGTCGCATACTCTCCAGAACAACACGCTGTCGAGCGAGGACGGCAACGATCTCTACATACTGGCGGGGCACGAGGCCTCCTACTAGGTGTGTCGATAGCAAAGATTTTAACAATATTTTCTAGAGACTTTTTTTCGTGTAGACGAAGCTCGATATGGAGTTCTAGGGACGAGTGTCGATGCATCGTTTTAGTGAATATATAATGTTACGAAAAGTGATTTATTTATGTAGCTCGGGTACAAATAACACGCGCTCTTAAGGGAACATTACTTCACCTTAATATTGTTACGACCGATGAAATTATGTCCTGATGTTAAGTATCACTTAGTGCTCTTCCCCCTCCTCAACAGTGGTGTTGTAAAAGCTACCTCCGTGACGCGAAGCGGATGTGGTTATCGAATTTGTTCAATAGTGTCGATAGGATTGCTTGAAACTAGCGATGATGACGTAATGACTATCGATATATTATCATAACAGAACTACCCTCAAAATTTACTGCCAGCCGACTGTTAACCTCGAAGGGGAGTCGTATGAGTTTTAATTTTTTTTTAAATTGTATAGTATTAAAATACAGCCACGTCTAAATAATGAGCTAACGATTTTTTTTTCACCTATTAGGTCTCTTATTGCCTTTGCAATAAGAACGGATATACCTATATTTTTTAAACATGGCTGTACTTTATTAGTTATTAGCAGTGGTCGGAATTAGGTAGAGTTATTCATGTACTTACACTGATTTCATACAGCGAAAGAATAAAGTGGATATGCCTCAAATCCCGAGATTAATTTTAAAGAGCAGAAAAAATCCCGTGATTTTTTAAATAAAAAGTTATTTACTTTTACACAATTTAAACTACTGCACGCACGACGTTGCCAAACTTACATTGATGACATCGGATGTCCAAAGATGTCCAAGATTGTCCATTAGAAATCCCGTTAAGGTCCACATTAATATCAACATTTCGATGCAAGTACATAAATAACTCTACCTAATTCCGACCTCTGGTATTGTTAGTCGTGTGACAACAACGATTTAAATGATGCTGCCATTGTTTCATTCCAAATAAATTAACAAAAAGCACAACTACAGAGCAATAATATTTACTAGTTTATAGCATGAATTTAAATTCACGTGTGAAGTGTGCCTGGGTGTTTATGAGCTGTGTTTAAATAGAATACTGATATCTCGCAACGTAAAACCATATTAATGTAGCACTACACGCTATGTATATAAAATTATCATTTATTTTTTATAAGTAGCATCATTTTTAATTATTCTAGACTTCAAATTGTTTCTACTTTTTATCCGACGAAAAACAAAGGAGGTTCTCTAGACGATGGATATTTTTATGTTTACCGCGCATAACTTGTGACATTGTCGCTCAGAGAAATAGAAAGAAAATAAACAATAATTGTATGTATGTATAGATCCATTTCTTATTGTTTGAAAATAAGGGGCTGGACGACGAATTCATGAGGGCATTCTTTTAAATTAACCATCCGAATAGATGAAAACGTTTTAACTTCTAACGTTATAAATTAATTAATAAAATAACAAATTATTTTTCACCCAAATAAGAAACTAAAAAGTGGATGAAGAAATTACTTATTATTACTAATACATATTACGACACATTCAGTTGTCTGCGCTTTTCTGAACTAAGTTTGAAACTTTGTATAAAATTAGTTTACATTGTCGATGTTCCTTTGACAATTAGCAAACTTTTTTTTGTAAATAAAAGTAATAATCCGTATATTATTAAAATGAACTACCAAATAAATGTGATTTGATGGCGCGTACTGCGTGTGTATGTGTGCGGGTGGGTGTGCGTGTGTGGGTAAATTTGAAAGTTTAAAAAGACAATTGTTTATTTTAAAAATGTAGATATTAATTTGAAACATTTAAAATGAACCATTCGCTTGTATAATATATTCTTTTTTGTAAATATTATATTACAAATATTCCAATTAGTTTTAGTCAATTGTATTATATCATTAGCTTAGATTAATTTTTATTAATAATGTATTTAATTTTTTTTTTTAATGTCGTATTTCGGAGAGTTAGCTAGGGAAGTGTTGACTGGCAATGTTTTTATTGCGATACCCCCGCCAGTGTTATAATTATTATGTTATTTTTCTAGAACATTCATTGCTTTATATAATATAAATTTACCCTATGTACTAATAACTTTACTAAAGAATATGAGATTACAACTAAATAGTGATTATTTATTGTAATTGTAATTTACGCGGTATATTTCAAAATTCGAGTGGGATTTTTTTTCAGTACCGGCGTTTCTTAAATGGATTGGTACAGACACTTTAAAATATAAATAAAAGAAGAAAATCTGTAACGATTATTTTTGTTACAAACTTGTGTATTTTCGAAAATATGCTGATGAAACGCCATTTTGTTAGCATTCACATGTAGACACGTGTCCCGTCGCAGACACTCGCTGACATCTTAATATTTGATGTGTATGAAATTATTGAATATACAATTTAATGATTTAATCGTTCAAATTGGATCCAACGCGTTAGTCATATATTAGATTTTAAAATTATGTTTCATTAAACAAAAGAAAACTTTAGAAACATTTTTTTAATGAGACAGTAATGTGTTTCACTCCATCTTATTTAATTATAAATTTCAAAATAAATTAACATCTGAGTGGGTTTTTATATTAATAAATCTGCTTCCGCGATATCTTTCTAGCCGCGTTAATATCATCACAAATTAAATATGTCTTAGGAAAACGTGTTGTTAGTTATATACTTGTACTTTATACCGATATTTGGAGCGACGATATCAATACATATTTTGTCATCTAGTTTTAAAATAAAACCGAGTTGTCTCCAGTTCACACAGACCATTAGTTTCCGTATGTCGACTGTTTACGTTACAGTTTTCTTACTGTGAGCTCTTAAATGCGATGCAAATGTTAATATTAAAGTGAGATGCAGCTACACGCTCACATAGTACTGTCCCTCTTCGACCATTGCGTTTACAAGAGTTCATGGTAAAGCTCCAAAAGGACATTTCTGTTGTCCAGTGGGAACTTATGTTAATTATGATCCCCCAATATACGTTTTTATTTTGTACACTTTTTTGTTTTTTATTTTAACTTTCCATTAATTTTTATTTACCAAGTTACTACGTGTGTATACGTTTACTTAGTAAGCACATAATGAACCACAAAAAGTTTAATTTTTTGCATCCAACTTTGATCTTAACTTCAAACTCATTCGACTGAAATCATTTGAAAATTTAATATTGATTGTATCTGCACGCGACTGCAGGTCCGACTACCGAATGTCTTTCCGCAATTGATTTTGTACTGTACTTTAAATGTAATAAGGTTTGAAATTTGACGGTTTTGTATAATTGACTGTACCACAGTAGGTTTTCACTATTTAAGATACGTTATCGTAGTATGGATATGTACGCGATTCTAGGATTTCATTTAAATTGTTAGTAGACATAACTTGAATAGTTTCAATCTTTTTTCAAATTAAATATTTCTAATTATAAGTCTAAATACTTATTAAATTTTTTGATTACGCAGCTGAATACATATAAAATATAATTTCTTCTTTCATCCTTAGTTATTTAAATTTGGTTATTCACTTAATAGATTTATTATTTACGTTTAACTGTACGAATCGCTTTGAACATTGCTTAAAATTTAAGAAAGAAAATATATTTAGAAAGATCCTCAAGGAGTGGCCCGCATCCTACAAGGAAATAACTTGCTCTTTTGTGGCATGTCTTACAGATTGTTATATCTGAACCCATTTATTGGAGCGAAAGAAGTAAATAATTTATTTACAAGTAAATGTTAGGAAAACCACAGGAAGATCTTTAAAAATACGATTTATTAGTGTAACCTTGGTTACAGTGAGAACCAACTAATACGGCCAATGGCATGTGAATATTCGTTGGCGTAGAGTAAACCTACCATTTTCAATGAAGACCCATCTTAATCTGAATAGAATTAAATCTGATTAAAATTAAAAGTCGTATTTTGATAACCGTAAGGTTTAAAATACGATGTTTTTGTATCACTCTACTAAAATGTGTTACAAAATTTATATTTCACTGATAAAGTTATTTAATACTTCGCTGACAAGTTTGCCAAATTGAGTGGAGGAGTATGGACTGGGAAAGGCTGTTAATAAAGAAAAAATTAAAATATCGTCGATAATTATTAATAAATTATAGTAATGAGTTTAGAAGTTTTAGATGTGTTTTGTAGATGTAAATTGTAGTTACCTATTTCAGGTAAGGAGACTAAGGAATATAACACCAGGGTTTTATTTCATTGTACAACTCGGCATTTTTAAATTGTGATTTTCCTGTGAAATATAGATTACTGCACAATTAAGAATGGACATTTTAACAATTATTTTTCAAATGAGTTGATGGATAAAATTTTGTTTAATATAATTTTAAAGTTTAAATGCTTCCTGTATCCAATAACTTTTTCCTACAAAAACAGTAACACATAAACATAACTAAATAAAATCGTCAGAACCAAGTAAAATGAAGAGTTGTATAACATAAAATAAAGCCCATGTACTGATATAAAAAATATAAACATTTACTTGATTTTAGTCTAAATAAGGTAAGTGAAATATTCTTTGATTATTCAAAGAAAAACAATATTGAGTGCAATAATATAACAAGAGTACCTAACAAAATTTTTACTTATAGAAATTATATTTGAATGACTGGCTTGCAGCATTTATGCTGATTTTGTTATAAGAATAGATATAAAATAGAATTCAAAGTCTGGCATTGGAAGTCTATTAAATTATTATAATGACAAAAAATATAAATTTAAAATATGTAAAAAAAATTAGGCATAAAATGCTTTTTTATTAGATTTTAGTTTTAACCTTCATCAGAAAGCTTGGATTATCATAATTTTTTTTTTACACTTGTCTGTGTCTATCATTAATTTTCTTTGAATTTCTCGATCTCTTAAAAATAATACATTTGACAATTTTGATAGTAGTGAATAAGTATTTCCAATTTCTCTATTTATGAAATTTATAGTATTCATTCTAACAATAAAAATATAATTTAATAATATTCAATGAAATTATAAATTAGATTTATGTATGACAGAATATTAGAGATGTGGATATTTATTTTGGTTAAATCAAAGTATAGAATGAGTACCTTGTGAGAATGTAAATACAATGTGCTAGCTGCGAGTAGTGTAACCCAGAGTTTAATGTTAACATTCAAGATTGTTTCGAGCTGATTATATTCCTGAATAAAGTGATAAAGAGAAGAATGTTGTTTTATTATATTTTTGAAGTGTTTAAGTCCACCTTGTATATTGTAACTATAAGTTTTTATAACACTGATATGTAGTAACTACTAATTTACTATGTTATAAGAAAAAAAGTTTTAATAAGTATAAAAATAATTTAATCAAAACAATAGCACTTGTCACCTAAAAGTGTTTTTATTGTCACAGTTTTATCATTAATCTTCTTCGATGATCTCCACTTCGTCTCCTTCTTCTTTCTTCTTGTTCATACCGGACTTTCTAGCTGAAACTACTTGTTTATATTGTTCGAAAGCTTCCCCTAAGGGCTCCACGAAACGATCGAATTCAATGTCTCTCATAGCATCTAGTACATCTTGACCGGTAAGTGCTTTTCTTTTTTTGTTTTTTACTATATTTGTCGCAGCGGAGGTAACGTACAGGACGAAAACTGAGGCAGCTTTAGCTAGACCCGTTCTAGCCTCTTTCGATATAGAAACTCCTTCTGGTAAAGCTTCTTTCACGATTCTGGTAACTACAGTCATAGGAAGATTTAGATCCTCAAGTTTTTCTGCCATATTTATTTGTACTTTTTATAAAAAATCCTAGATCTAAAACATTAACGCGCGTAAATGTTTTGTAAATTGTAAATGCGTCTGACATTGACATTTGAAATTTGATAGTAATGGTGTGCGGAATCTATTACCATTAATCGCTACTTTTATATATACCATTTATCGCATTATCATTTGCTATAGATTATGATTTCCTAATCGACTATTAATTATCGATAATTTCTTAAAACGTTAGCAATAGGAATAGTTTAAAAGGTTAGTATAGGTCCTCTTACTTTACTTCGATGGCTTCGAAACCCATAGCGGATCGTAAGTGTGAATATTATTAGTAGATATTCTATTACTTATTATGGCAACCCTGGAATACACCCACGAACAAATAGGTAACTTTATTCTTTGGTCGGGGAACTCCCGGTTAAATAGCAAGTTAAATTCTATAAATTTTGTACATATACATGTGCTGGTATAATAAACATTTTCTTAATATTGATTTTTAACTATTTTTCATTAACTTGGATGGCTTTAAAATACGGTGGAATTAATCTGAAATCATTAATAAACTTTTGGGGTAAAAATATTTAATAATCATTGATTTGACTCAGTTATTAATCGATTACGAATTTTACTATAATGGATTAATCGATATGTAATATAATCGAATCGGAACATCATTATATGATAGACATTTATGTTTTATTTAGACTTATGTTGAACATTCTGCTAACTTCTAATATAAATTTCGATATAATCCACGCAAATTGCTAATGTGCATGGCCGCAATTTTAATTACTTAATTGCGTTCAAAAATCAGTATCATTTAGGGGTGTAACGATGACATCTAGGTAACGATACTTGTACTCGATTCGGTATCGGTCATGAAGTATCGATGCCTACTAGGTTTTAAATGAAAAGTATCGATACTTACTCGTATCGAATGGTTTTAAATATGTTAGAGCTGATTAATCTGCCATTAGGCAGTTAATGAGCATGGAGCAAAAAAAAAAGCAAAAAGTATGGAGCAAAAAAAATGGGTACAGCGGCGCATTTGACGGTAAGCCTAATAGTTTTATGTGAATTTTAAATATATAGGAATATAGCAGTATCTAGACACTGATAAAGAAAAAGAAAATATTATGACTGCTTATTTTTTTTATAATTAACGGTAGAAATAAGTTGGTTGCGAATTACTACACCGAATTTACAAAACTTGCATTCTGCGTCCGCCACGGACGCAAACTGAAAGTCAATTTTTTTCCATTAAATACATTTATCTTGTTTGCAAAAATATTTTAAAATATATCGTACATTTTTGATTTACCTACTACGAGTTTAAAATTGTAGTAATATCTTTAATTATTATTTTTTTCCTGAATAAGTGAGTTCTACGGAGATAAGAAAGACGAAGGAGAAGAGAATAAACTTAGAAGACAATTTAAAAAAGAGTTAAATAAAATTTGTATGAAGAAGAAAACGATCAGACAATTATGCTAAAAAATAACAATTATTGGATACTGTTCCGGAAAAAATTAGAGATGGGTAATATAAAAATAAATTTGCATGTGACTTCTCAGGTCAAAAGTGGTTTGTTTACTTTGAATTTTTGGCCAAACTCACTTAAAAATGCGGAGGGGATTCATAAAGCTAGAGGCCAGAAGAGCAAGAATTTTCAATGAGAAAAACACATCAATAAGCTTATAAGAGAATGCAGGAGTAATATTTTTAAGATAATTTAACGAAACATTAAACCTACTTTGTTTTTTAATGTGAAGTTCTATTCATGATAAAAACAATGAAATAAATAGGTTGTATTCCATTTATTTAGTTTACAGTATAAGTAAATCAAATCAATATGTATTTTAATCTAATGTTTGCTCAGTTAAAAACCGAAGGAGTTATAAATAGGTAAGTATTTTACGTTAATTTCGTAATCAACGATCAACTAGCTGCTGTACATGGAATGTTTATGCTCGATTGCTTTTAAACTGTACGGAATTTATTTAGATATCTTAACATGTCTGTGAGTGTAGCATTGCGCAAACTCAAGTAAGTCCACGCCATTTTGGCTGCGTGCTTTAATTGTTTGCTTTGCTAGTGCGGCACCGGCGTTATCCGAGTCGGGACGTTCACGTGCGGGTCCTTATCGATCCCTCACGTTACACCGTGATATTGTGTTGTTTTTTAAATTACAAAAAAAGAATACATTATATTATAAAAGCTGCATTTACAGACTTTTCAGTTCGCGTATCGGAGCGGTTTCACCTTTTTATTATATTTAAACAATACTCATTTGGTGCTGTGTATGAATATATTTGTTTTTGAACGTGACTGTTAAAAGGTAAGATTATATACACACGTGTTGTCCTTTTTATTTATTCTTATTAAAATGTGGTCATTCCCAATACTTAATAAACATACTTGACAAGAATAAAACTACGTACCTTCAGCACTTGTATTACTTTAGAAACCCGAAAATCTTATATTAATATTTATTATAAAAAAGAGATAGTCACGGAAAAACAGCTAGTATTAAAATAGTTATATAGGCTACATATTATCAGACTAAACGGTTCCCTGGGGAACACACGAGCGAAGCCGCTGGCAGAAGGCTAGTAGTTATGTAAGTTGATGTATCTTACAGGATATGAAACTATGTTCAGAACAAGCCGAGGACATGGTTGTTGTCCACCGCTTGGTCTGAACATTGGTCTTGGTAGATAATAAAAATACATTCTAAAATTCACATAATAAATAAAATGTAATAAGTTCAAAAACTAAAAAGTAAAAAGTTTATACACGAAATTACTTTTATAGCGATGACCAAAGGACAGCGTAGCCGTATGCTACTGATCATGACAAAACAAACTCACATTATTTTTCCTCATTTTATATAAAACTTTTATCTGAAAATAAAACATAGGAGTAATTAATTAGGTACCTATTACTAATAACATAGTATATGTAACCATTGACGACCGGTTTATAAACAAAAACTGCTAATATAATGTAGGTATGTATGTGAAATCTTGGTGTGCCTGTTTACGAGCTGCATTATGTAGTAAAAAAACACGATAAAAAACTTACGACAAGTTTATATTATTTATGATCATGCGCGTAATGCGTCAATAATCGATTAGCTATTTCTTTTTATCTTCAAATCGTTGGTTTTGGTTAAAAAATATTGCTTTAAATTAAATTAAAAAGTATGGATAATAATCATATTTGATATAGTTTGCATTCACAATTCTATACTAGAAAATATTCTTAATGAAAAACGCTCAAAAAATTCACTTTATCCAGGTTTCAGAATGCCAGGGACAAAGTGATTTTTTAAGCATTTTTCATTAAATTTTCAATAAAAAATCGCTTTAAGCGATAAGGCCGCTAATTGTTACATAATAGAGTTAATTTACTAATTGTGTAATGTAAACAAAAAAGATTTTGTATTGTATTGTAAGAATATGGGTAACTGGCAACTCTGTGAATTCTTTGAATCTTTTCAGTATATACAAATTAATATTTTCTTTCATATATTGTCTAGATAACGAATATAAGCCGATGTCAGTCTATCAGGCTGATCAGAGATGCACGCTACTAAAATATTTATTCCTTCTATTTATCATAATCTCGATGCTCTGAAACTTTTCGGCAAAATGCACTTGGAACAAACTTCTTTTATCGACTATCTTATCAAAGGAAGATTACGCCACATGTGTTGTGTTAAAAAATGGTCTGAAAAAATTCTTCCAGCTATCTGATGGCGACATCATGTCCAAGACTGCATTTATGTTCTACCTACATTACGTGCATGGGGAAGGTCAGGAAAGTAATGATTTTTATTTCCAAAATTTTCGAAATAAAAATCATTACTTTCCTGCAAATAGTTTGGCATTTCTTAAACGATCACAAGCGCAATAAAAAGAATCCTAATCCTTTAGTGTGAAATTAAAAGTGAGCAGATTTTGCGAGTCTAAAAACAGAAACTTACTGAAATGGAATTCAACTCAAGTGAAAGTCGTAAAAGGGCCTTGAATGTAGAGAAAATTATTTCGAAATATAAAGTTTGATATTTCTAAGACTCGTTTGCATTTTTGAATTGCAAAAAACGCACGAATTTTTTGTTCTCCTAATAGTAATTGCCAAAAGTTATTTGTTAATTTTTCTTACAAAATGTATGAAATTAAGCTTTGTTATATCTTACAATAACGACTGCGTTGCGTCCGTATGTACATAAGAATTTTTTCTTCGTGTTCGTTTTGATTACCTTTTTATTACGATTAGTGAAACAAAAACAAAAAATATATCTCTTAATAGCCACATAAAACCGTTTGTTGTGCTGAATGGTCTGTCAAGATTATATTCCTATAGATTGTGTAGCTGAATCGTATACTTTCAATTAGCTTATAGACTAAGAAATAATGTCCAAAAAATGAAAAACCTATTTACCTACATCATATTTATTTCGACACAATCAAATCAAAATTATTTATTCAGATTAGGCTTTTACAGAGCACTTGTGAAAGTCGAATTCAATACATGTACATAATATTTAGAAAACATTCTCAAAGTTACAATAAAATTCACATTTTTTATTTAGGTAAATTGATAAATCAAGTAGCAGAGCTTTTTATTTTTTATTTTAATTGAAATTGTGGATTGAATTTAATTGTTTTATTTGAAACTGTGTATTTCATTGCCAAGCGCGTTGACTGGTGTTGACTTCGCCTAGTTTTCTACTTTTTTTCATATATTAAAAAACCGGATTAGTCTTCTATACTATATGTTGGCAGGAGATAGAAAAATATTACGAGCTTACGACATGGTTGCTCACGCTAACAGAGTGCCTACAATAAAAACCCGTTAATCTAGTTAAACTCCCGAGTGACGTAATCTTTATAATTTTTCGCCGGCCTCCACGTCAAGGCCGTAACTTTTAAAAAGTTCACGTAATATTCTTAATGTAAAATGTTTAAAAATCAACTCGCCCCAGGGTACTCTGAGGTAGGCACAGATCAATATGATTTTTTTTTCAAATTAATAATATTATGCACACGTATACTGTACACCTTTAATTTCACTATTCACTTCATTTAAATTTTTATAAATTGTCACGTCTTTTTTGTTGCCAAATTTACAATTTTGAGCGAAATTGAAGTCCACTTATTTTATATGTGTGTGAGTTTTCTCAATAAACAAATGACTATTAAAAAATTACTATAAATTACTCCGGAGGCGAGTACCACGCGTCTCTTAATATTTATTCCATTGCAACAGTGTTTTTAAACTTTTTCAATACACGACGGCTTTCCAGGTTGAAAATTTCTGGCGACCACCTTTGGCCATAGAAATACAAAAAATAAGGAAAATAAGGTCCTTATTATTCATTTATTAAAATTTTAAACACAGCAACACTTAATTTAAAATGTTGTTTTTCTATAGAGAACCATTAAAGAACTTTGATTTTTCTTTTTCC